CGGGGAAAGGGTCCCTAGATGACCGGCTGCCCTGCCGTTCCTTGGGGGCATGAAGGAATATCTACCTGCCCCACCAGCCCCCAGAGCCCTAGGACGCCTCGTCAGTGCAGTACCATTAATGAGCTGCATGGGAGGGCCCCGGCAAGGCACGCTCCTGCATGCGCACGGGCCCTCCACGAGTCACTGAAGCCAGCCCCAGGCTGCACCCAGTGTACTGCGCTCACACGGCACTGGGCAGCACCAGCAGGGTCAACCCAACCTGCATGTCGGTGTTAGCAACTCGTGTTAGTAGACACACTTCCTCCCACCGGGCACCGGGGAGCATCCAGCGCCTCAGGGGTTAACTCGGACTGACCCATCACTCATCATCAGAGCAGAAATCCAAACGGCAAGGGAAGCGAGCTGTTAATATGCAGGGTAAAGACGAGTGATTGGCCAGGGCAGCAGCCAATCGGAAGGAGTCAGCGCGTAGAGGGCGGAAGCTGTGAATTCCAAGCCAGCGGGGAGCAGAAGGGAAGGGACTGGAGGGGTTCTGACCTCTACTTTAGCCACAGCACTAAGCTCCCACATCCGATAGGCCACCTGCGCAGCTTCGGGGAAGAACTCACCTGCGGCGCTGCAATGGGAGGGGATAGGACACAAGGATAGTGAGCAACTGGGGAACTCACCAACAGGGGGCAGCGCAGGCCGCACCATGACCCAACTCCCGAAGAATTCTACGCCAACCCAACCCAACCCACACCGGATCTCTGCGCCCCCACTCCAACCCAACCAGCACCACGGCCGGATCTCTGTGCCCCCGCACCAACCCAACCCACACCGGATCTCTACGCCCCCGCACCAACCCAACCCACACCGGATCTCTACGCCCCCGCACCAACCCAACCCACACCGGATCTCTACGCCCCCGCACCAACCCAACCCACACCGGATCTCTACGCCCCCGCACCAACCCAACCCACACCGGATCTCTACGCCCCCGCACCAACCCAACCCACACCGGATCTCTACGCCCCCGCACCAACCCAACCCACACCGGATCTCTACGCCCCCGCACCAACCCAACCCACACCGGATCTCTACGCCCCCGCACCAACCCAACCCACACCGGATCTCTACGCCCCCGCACCAACCCAACCCACACCGGATCTCTACGCCCCCGCACCAACCCAACCCACACCGGATCTCTACGCCCCCGCACCAACCCAACCCACACCGGATCTCTACGCCCCCGCACCAACCCAACCCACACCGGATCTCTACGCCCCCGCACCAACCCAACCCACACCGGATCTCTACGCCCCCGCACCAACCCAACCCACACCGGATCTCTACGCCCCCGCACCAACCCAACCCACACCGGATCTCTACGCCCCCGCACCAACCCAACCCACACCGGATCTCTACGCCCCCGCACCAACCCAACCCACACCGGATCTCTACGCCCCCGCACCAACCCAACCCACACCGGATCTCTACGCCCCCGCACCAACCCAACCCACACCGGATCTCTACGCCCCCGCACCAACCCAACCCACACCGGATCTCTACGCCCCCGCACCAACCCAACCCACACCGGATCTCTACGCCCCCGCACCAACCCAACCCACACCGGATCTCTACGCCCCCGCACCAACCCAACCCACACCGGATCTCTACGCCCCCGCACCAACCCAACCCACACCGGATCTCTACGCCCCCGCACCAACCCAACCCACACCGGATCTCTACGCCCCCGCACCAACCCAACCCACACCGGATCTCTACGCCCCCGCACCAACCCAACCCACACCGGATCTCTACGCCCCCGCACCAACCCAACCCACACCGGATCTCTACGCCCCCGCACCAACCCAACCCACACCGGATCTCTACGCCCCCGCACCAACCCAACCCACACCGGATCTCTACGCCCCCGCACCAACCCAACCCACACCGGATCTCTACGCCCCCGCACCAACCCAACCCACACCGGATCTCTACGCCCCCGCACCAACCCAACCCACACCGGATCTCTACGCCCCCGCACCAACCCAACCCACACCGGATCTCTACGCCCCCGCACCAACCCAACCCACACCGGATCTCTACGCCCCCGCACCAACCCAACCCACACCGGATCTCTACGCCCCCGCACCAACCCAACCCACACCGGATCTCTACGCCCCCGCACCAACCCAACCCACACCGGATCTCTACGCCCCCGCACCAACCCAACCCACACCGGATCTCTACGCCCCCGCACCAACCCAACCCACACCGGATCTCTACGCCCCCGCACCAACCCAACCCACACCGGATCTCTACGCCCCCGCACCAACCCAACCCACACCGGATCTCTACGCCCCCGCACCAACCCAACCCACACCGGATCTCTACGCCCCCGCACCAACCCAACCCACACCGGATCTCTACGCCCCCGCACCAACCCAACCCACACCGGATCTCTACGCCCCCGCACCAACCCAACCCACACCGGATCTCTACGCCCCCGCACCAACCCAACCCACACCGGATCTCTACGCCCCCGCACCAACCCAACCCACACCGGATCTCTACGCCCCCGCACCAACCCAACCCACACCGGATCTCTACGCCCCCGCACCAACCCAACCCACACCGGATCTCTACGCCCCCACACCAACCCAACCCCCACCACAGCTGGATCTCTGTGCCCCCGCATCAACCCAACCCACACCACGGCCGGATCTCTACGCCCTCACACCAACCCAACCCCCACCACGGCCGGATCTCTGTGCCCCCCCACCCACCCAACCGCCCCCACACCAACCCAACCCACACCGGATCTCTACGCCCCCACACCAACCCAACCCACACCGGATCTCTACGCCCCCACACCAACCCAACCCACACCGGATCTCTACGCCCCCACACCAACCCAACCCACACCGGATCTCTACGCCCCCACACCAACCCAACCCACACCGGATCTCTACGCCCCCACACCAACCCAACCCACACCGGATCTCTACGCCCCCACACCAACCCAACCCACACCGGATCTCTACGCCCCCACACCAACCCAACCCACACCACGGCTGGATCTCTACGCCCCCACGCCAACCCAACCCACACCACGTGTGGATCTCTACGCCCCCACGCCAAACCAACCCACACCACGGCCGGATCTCTACGTCCCCACACCAACCCAACCCACACCACGGCCGGATCTCTGTGCCCCCACACCAACCCAACCCACGCCGGGTTTCTGTGCCCCCACACCAACCCAACCAGCACCACGGCCGGATCTCTGTGCCCCTACACCAACCCAACCCGCACCATGGCCGGATCTCTGTGCCCCCGCACCAACCCAACCCCCACCACGGCCGGATCTCTGTGCCCCTACACCAACCCAACCCGCACCATGGCCGGATCTCTGTGCCCCCGCACCAACCCAACCCCCACCACGGCCGGATCTCTGTGCCCCTACACCAACCCAACCCGCACCATGGCCGGATCTCTGTGCCCCCGCACCAACCCAACCCCCACCACGGCCGGATCTCTGTGCCCCTACACCAACCCAACCCGCACCATGGCCGGATCTCTGTGCCCCCGCACCAACCCAACCCCCACCACGGCCGGATCTCTGTGCCCCTACACCAACCCAACCCGCACCATGGCCGGATCTCTGTGCCCCCGCACCAACCCAACCCCCACCACGGCCGGATCTCTGTGCCCCTACACCAACCCAACCCGCACCATGGCCGGATCTCTGTGCCCCCGCACCAACCCAACCCCCACCACGGCCGGATCTCTGTGCCCCTACACCAACCCAACCCGCACCATGGCCGGATCTCTGTGCCCCCGCACCAACCCAACCCCCACCACGGCCGGATCTCTGTGCCCCTACACCAACCCAACCCGCACCATGGCCGGATCTCTGTGCCCCCGCACCAACCCAACCCCCACCACGGCCGGATCTCTGTGCCCCTACACCAACCCAACCCGCACCATGGCCGGATCTCTGTGCCCCCGCACCAACCCAACCCCCACCACGGCCGGATCTCTGTGCCCCTACACCAACCCAACCCGCACCATGGCCGGATCTCTGTGCCCCCGCACCAACCCAACCCCCACCACGGCCGGATCTCTGTGCCCCTACACCAACCCAACCCGCACCATGGCCGGATCTCTGTGCCCCCGCACCAACCCAACCCCCACCACGGCCGGATCTCTGTGCCCCTACACCAACCCAACCCGCACCATGGCCGGATCTCTGTGCCCCCGCACCAACCCAACCCCCACCACGGCCGGATCTCTGTGCCCCTACACCAACCCAACCCGCACCATGGCCGGATCTCTGTGCCCCCGCACCAACCCAACCCCCACCACGGCCGGATCTCTGTGCCCCTACACCAACCCAACCCGCACCATGGCCGGATCTCTGTGCCCCCGCACCAACCCAACCCCCACCACGGCCGGATCTCTGTGCCCCTACACCAACCCAACCCGCACCATGGCCGGATCTCTGTGCCCCCGCACCAACCCAACCCCCACCACGGCCGGATCTCTGTGCCCCTACACCAACCCAACCCGCACCATGGCCGGATCTCTGTGCCCCCGCACCAACCCAACCCCCACCACGGCCGGATCTCTGTGCCCCTACACCAACCCAACCCGCACCATGGCCGGATCTCTGTGCCCCCGCACCAACCCAACCCCCACCACGGCCGGATCTCTGTGCCCCTACACCAACCCAACCCGCACCATGGCCGGATCTCTGTGCCCCCGCACCAACCCAACCCCCACCACGGCCGGATCTCTGTGCCCCTACACCAACCCAACCCGCACCATGGCCGGATCTCTGTGCCCCCGCACCAACCCAACCCCCACCACGGCCGGATCTCTGTGCCCCTACACCAACCCAACCCGCACCATGGCCGGATCTCTGTGCCCCCGCACCAACCCAACCCCCACCACGGCCGGATCTCTGTGCCCCTACACCAACCCAACCCGCACCATGGCCGGATCTCTGTGCCCCCGCACCAACCCAACCCCCACCACGGCCGGATCTCTGTGCCCCTACACCAACCCAACCCGCACCATGGCCGGATCTCTGTGCCCCCGCACCAACCCAACCCCCACCACGGCCGGATCTCTGTGCCCCTACACCAACCCAACCCGCACCATGGCCGGATCTCTGTGCCCCCGCACCAACCCAACCCCCACCACGGCCGGATCTCTGTGCCCCTACACCAACCCAACCCGCACCATGGCCGGATCTCTGTGCCCCCGCACCAACCCAACCCCCACCACGGCCGGATCTCTGTGCCCCTACACCAACCCAACCCGCACCATGGCCGGATCTCTGTGCCCCCGCACCAACCCAACCCCCACCACGGCCGGATCTCTGTGCCCCTACACCAACCCAACCCGCACCATGGCCGGATCTCTGTGCCCCCGCACCAACCCAACCCCCACCACGGCCGGATCTCTGTGCCCCTACACCAACCCAACCCGCACCATGGCCGGATCTCTGTGCCCCCGCACCAACCCAACCCCCACCACGGCCGGATCTCTGTGCCCCTACACCAACCCAACCCGCACCATGGCCGGATCTCTGTGCCCCCGCACCAACCCAACCCCCACCACGGCCGGATCTCTGTGCCCCTACACCAACCCAACCCGCACCATGGCCGGATCTCTGTGCCCCCGCACCAACCCAACCCCCACCACGGCCGGATCTCTGTGCCCCTACACCAACCCAACCCGCACCATGGCCGGATCTCTGTGCCCCCGCACCAACCCAACCCCCACCACGGCCGGATCTCTGTGCCCCTACACCAACCCAACCCGCACCATGGCCGGATCTCTGTGCCCCCGCACCAACCCAACCCCCACCACGGCCGGATCTCTGTGCCCCTACACCAACCCAACCCGCACCATGGCCGGATCTCTGTGCCCCCGCACCAACCCAACCCCCACCACGGCCGGATCTCTGTGCCCCTACACCAACCCAACCCGCACCATGGCCGGATCTCTGTGCCCCCGCACCAACCCAACCCCCACCACGGCCGGATCTCTGTGCCCCTACACCAACCCAACCCGCACCATGGCCGGATCTCTGTGCCCCCGCACCAACCCAACCCCCACCACGGCCGGATCTCTGTGCCCCTACACCAACCCAACCCGCACCATGGCCGGATCTCTGTGCCCCCGCACCAACCCAACCCCCACCACGGCCGGATCTCTGTGCCCCTACACCAACCCAACCCGCACCATGGCCGGATCTCTGTGCCCCCGCACCAACCCAACCCCCACCACGGCCGGATCTCTGTGCCCCTACACCAACCCAACCCGCACCATGGCCGGATCTCTGTGCCCCCGCACCAACCCAACCCCCACCACGGCCGGATCTCTGTGCCCCTACACCAACCCAACCCGCACCATGGCCGGATCTCTGTGCCCCCGCACCAACCCAACCCCCACCACGGCCGGATCTCTGTGCCCCTACACCAACCCAACCCGCACCATGGCCGGATCTCTGTGCCCCCGCACCAACCCAACCCCCACCACGGCCGGATCTCTGTGCCCCTACACCAACCCAACCCGCACCATGGCCGGATCTCTGTGCCCCCGCACCAACCCAACCCCCACCACGGCCGGATCTCTGTGCCCCTACACCAACCCAACCCGCACCATGGCCGGATCTCTGTGCCCCCGCACCAACCCAACCCCCACCACGGCCGGATCTCTGTGCCCCTACACCAACCCAACCCGCACCATGGCCGGATCTCTGTGCCCCCGCACCAACCCAACCCCCACCACGGCCGGATCTCTGTGCCCCTACACCAACCCAACCCGCACCATGGCCGGATCTCTGTGCCCCCGCACCAACCCAACCCCCACCACGGCCGGATCTCTGTGCCCCTACACCAACCCAACCCGCACCATGGCCGGATCTCTGTGCCCCCGCACCAACCCAACCCCCACCACGGCCGGATCTCTGTGCCCCTACACCAACCCAACCCGCACCATGGCCGGATCTCTGTGCCCCCGCACCAACCCAACCCCCACCACGGCCGGATCTCTGTGCCCCTACACCAACCCAACCCGCACCATGGCCGGATCTCTGTGCCCCCGCACCAACCCAACCCCCACCACGGCCGGATCTCTGTGCCCCTACACCAACCCAACCCGCACCATGGCCGGATCTCTGTGCCCCCGCACCAACCCAACCCCCACCACGGCCGGATCTCTGTGCCCCTACACCAACCCAACCCGCACCATGGCCGGATCTCTGTGCCCCCGCACCAACCCAACCCCCACCACGGCCGGATCTCTGTGCCCCTACACCAACCCAACCCGCACCATGGCCGGATCTCTGTGCCCCCGCACCAACCCAACCCCCACCACGGCCGGATCTCTGTGCCCCTACACCAACCCAACCCGCACCATGGCCGGATCTCTGTGCCCCCGCACCAACCCAACCCCCACCACGGCCGGATCTCTGTGCCCCTACACCAACCCAACCCGCACCATGGCCGGATCTCTGTGCCCCCGCACCAACCCAACCCCCACCACGGCCGGATCTCTGTGCCCCTACACCAACCCAACCCGCACCATGGCCGGATCTCTGTGCCCCCGCACCAACCCAACCCCCACCACGGCCGGATCTCTGTGCCCCTACACCAACCCAACCCGCACCATGGCCGGATCTCTGTGCCCCCGCACCAACCCAACCCCCACCACGGCCGGATCTCTGTGCCCCTACACCAACCCAACCCGCACCATGGCCGGATCTCTGTGCCCCCGCACCAACCCAACCCCCACCACGGCCGGATCTCTGTGCCCCTACACCAACCCAACCCGCACCATGGCCGGATCTCTGTGCCCCCGCACCAACCCAACCCCCACCACGGCCGGATCTCTGTGCCCCTACACCAACCCAACCCGCACCATGGCCGGATCTCTGTGCCCCCGCACCAACCCAACCCCCACCACGGCCGGATCTCTGTGCCCCTACACCAACCCAACCCGCACCATGGCCGGATCTCTGTGCCCCCGCACCAACCCAACCCCCACCACGGCCGGATCTCTGTGCCCCTACACCAACCCAACCCGCACCATGGCCGGATCTCTGTGCCCCCACACCAACCCATCCCACACCACGGCCCAATCTCTATTCCCCCAAATCAAATCAACTCGCACCATGGCCCAAATTCTATGCCCCCACACCATGGCTGGATCTCTAAGCCTCTACACCAAATCAACCCACACCATCGCCCATTTTCTAATGCCCCCAAATCAAATCAGACGCCCCTCAGGATAAGTCAGCCAGCATGTCAACCCAATCCCTATGACCCCCCAATCCGCAGCATGAATCTTGAAGTGACACAGAGCTTCTGAGATAGAGGGGCTTTTGTGCATTGTCAGGACCAAGCGACCCGAGCGGGGGTGAGTGGTGCCAGGGGTGGTGCTGTGTCACGCTAGCACTGCCGGGACACTGGGAGGGGTCGGTTCTGTAAGCTGAGTGGGTGGTGGGCCGGGAACAGGGCAGGGAGGAGTCTCTGCTTTTGTACCCAGCACTTAGGGGGCACAAAGCATTCTCCCCCACCTTCCCCCACAGCAGGGCACTTGCTCTCCAGTCCATATCCCGCATCTGCTGCGTTCCCCCTGCTGCGTCCCACCCTTCCCCCAGCTGGCAGCATTAGGGTGCCGCTGGGGGGACTGCAGGGCTGTGAGCCAGTCTGGTTTCTCATCAGGTGTCGGCTGGCACTGGGCCTGGCATGGGGCTGGACGTGGGACTGTCCCCCGCAATGTGGGGTCAAAGTTTGCCTCTCGAGGCAATGATGGGGGAGGGGAGGGGTGAGTTAGGTGGGGCAGGACTATAACCCCGCTGGCTGTGCTGTCCATGCAGACTACGGGGCCTGCTCCTGCCCCCTCTGCGCAAAATGGCAAACTCTTACTGAGGTCAGGGACAGGCTCCATGATGTGGACTCTCCACTTGGCACCAGACCAGGGCTGGCTGCCTTTCCTGGACGGCCGTGGAAACCCGCCACCGGGCCCCAGAGGGAGCTGCAGGGCCCCATGCTTGGCTTCGCCCCGAGGGAAGCCGGTGGGACGGTACAAGGCAGGCCTCATCATCCCCCCCGCACAGCTTCAGCAGGGCCTTCTTGTACTCGCCGGACGTGTCGTCCTGCAAAGCAAGCGGCAGAGGGAGATCCTCAAGGCGGAGCTCGTCCATCCCCGGGGAGAGAGGGGCACGGCCGTGGGTCTCGTGAAGCCGCCCATGAGCGGGAGGGGCTTTCCAGGAGCCCCTCCAAAGGAGGCTGGGACACGAGGCACAGAGGGCTTGGCGGGGCCCAGCGCCACCCTCCCACCCGCTGTGGATTCAGGGCCACATAGTGACATCGTAGAAGGAGCTTTAGCCAGCCCCGGGCAGAGGAACCCCAGAGCTCGCTGGAGGGGGAAAACGACTAAGCGCCTTCCACACATGCCGTTGGGGAAATTCCAGGGAGAGTCGGACGGAGAATCTCTGCCTCAGCAAGGGATGGGGGTCCAGGGGTTCTGCGTGTCAGGGCTGGGGGTGGGCAGGCGCTGACAAGAGCTATTCACAAAGCAAAATTCAACCCCAACAGCCTCCCAAGAGCAGCTGCCAGGGAGCACCTGCCCCCCCCCCCCTCCCCTCTGTGGGGGAG